GGGGGATGGCGGGAGGACCCGCCTGCACTGGGACGGGGACCCGCGGCGGGTGCCTCCTGTGTGCACACTGCCATCGGTAGCATTTGATTTACTGGACTTTTGCATAGGTATTTTTAAGGTTGCGTGCTCTTTTTTGTTTTTTTTTTTTCTTTAATTCTCACTTTCATAGAATGCTTAAGGTTGGAAGGGACCTCTAGAGGTCATCTAGTCCAACCCCACTTTCTTTTGGAACATTTAACAGCAGTGATATATTCAGGTGCTGTTGGACTTAAGTGAATGGATAATGACTATGAACACTGTTAAAATGCCTGAATATATTTTTGACTGTTGTAGCTTAGAAAAGAGCTAGTGTTTTCATTTTTTAATGTTTTCTGCCATTTGGCCATTAAAACTGTGTTGGTGCATTGGGTTGTATTTTGAGAGACCCCCTTTCCTTTTTTCTGCTTTGTCAATTTGTGACTATAATTCTGCTTGTCCAGCCATGTAAATATGTAGTTGCCTCTGTGTATTGGCTGAACAGGTGTTTGCAAGTCCTAAATGGCACCAAAGAATGGGAGGTACAACCCGGGAGGCCGCGTTAATGGCAGGCTGAAAATCAGGCCCCGCGCGGATGTGACCCTCAAAGCTGCCACAATCACTTCTGGAAAGGATGAACGTGCAGATAGTGTAACGGTCACAGCATTATTGCACCTGCTCTTAATTAACGTGTCTTTATTTTAAAGGATCTATGACACCAGCTGTTTGTCACCGACCATTGGAGCTCTCAGTACCGTCAGGTAAGCTGAGCGCTGGGATCACACTTGAATATCACAGGGTTGCTTTTAATGTTAAGGAGCATGTTTTTAGGTAGAGTCCCAGCATCTGCAAAACAATTTTGTGCTGTAAAAGGGTGAATCATGGTAGGTTTGGAGTGTTTTGAAATGTTTTGGTTTGCCGCTTTGGTGATTTGGTTTGTCCTACTACCGAAATATGCAACCATCGTGTTTAAATACTTTTGGTAGAGCCAACCACACTCTGACAAAAGCAGTTATTTATCATCTTGCTTTGTTATGTCTTTGTTCGATCCCATTGAATGGATCTGCCTAGCACCATTTGTCCAGCACTGATGGTTTAGGAGGCAAGAAAGGGGAGATTAGGCAAGAGTGACATCAATGACAATTAAAAAAAAATGCATTTGATAAGAAAAATACTTATCCCTTTCTTTTTCTCCCCTTTTATTTTTTTTCCAAAGACATAACAATAACACAGGACGCTGGCTGACTAGGTTCAGAGCAATATGGGATCCGAAACAGGAGGATTGCTTCGTGGTGGGCAGCATGGCACGTCCAAGACAAATAGAAATATATCAGGACACGGGAAAACTGTTGCACTCCTTTTATAATGTTGATTATCTTGGTTCCGTGTGTTCCATTAATGTTGTTCATCCCACTAGGAATATCTTGGTGGGTGGCAACTCCAGTGGTCGCCTTCATGTGTTCAAAGAATGAAAACGTGGAAATGTTGCGCAGATCTTTCTTCTTTTTTTTTTTTTCCCTTTTGCATGAAAGTGTTTAATTTGCATTAAACTTTTTTGAGATAACTGTTCTCTCAGGATAAAAGTGTATTTTGAAAGCTTTAAAATAAAATTTCTAAACTACATCTAACCTTTTCTTCTGTAATTAAAAAAGATATTAATCGCACTATGAGAGCACTCAGTGCGTGACTCAACACGAGCCCGGCGCAGTACGGCCACGGCGGGCCCGGTGCAGCCA